TGAAACAGCTCTCATTCAGTTAAAATCCTTCGGACTCAATTCAGGCAAGAGAAACGGAGACTACGCGGGGAATGTTCTAAATCGTGATCAGGATAATTAAGAAGCGAGGTATATAGACATTTAAAAAAAATACACAAAACATTTGAATACCCTCCGCAGGCTGCAATCTTCCGAACGAGTGGCTCAACTTCCGATCCTCGACATTTGTCCAGTGGTGTTTTCCCTGAGTCATTGGCTTTCAACACGTCAGCTCCATAGCTTAACAAGCAGCGTGAGACAGCGACAAAGGACGCATTGCTCTTTCGTGCACCAAATAGTGAGTCCAGACCAGGCTTAAATAAAACAACACTAATCCGTGTCAAGAAGGCCGAAGACATTAACAAAGAACCGACTTATCACCTTTCCCTTTACATCAGTTGTACTTATTGCAAGCAGTGTGAGAACCTATTTGAGATCATTGTATTACGGCGAGATTATGAAATAGGGAGACGATTCTCAAAAGGTGTGGTAGATGGTAAAAATTCTTTGCTTATCTACGTTCCTTACTTAGTCTTGTTTTCGAAGTTAAGTAGCAACATCGCTTGAAGAAATAAAATTGCAGTAATTTTTACTTCACAACAGTGTCATTGTCCAAACCGATTTGAACAAATCAAAAGCCAATTTTGTAGATGCCTATAAACATCAGACACATGCATAATCATCCAAATCATTTCATGATTATTTTACATTACTTATTTTCCCACGCTGAAAGGTAGAAAAAGATCGAAAGGTTAAACTTTGTTGACTTATTTACCATTAATCCCATATTTCTCTGTAGCACGTGTTCCTTCATTAAAGTGATGTGAAGCGCCGTATCTCCGTCATTATCCACCGCATTAACATCTGCTCCATGGTCCAACAACATCCCTACCATGACTGAGTATCCTTCTTCGGCAGCTAAATGAAGTGCTGTTTGATTTCCAGCGGTTGGAGAATCGACCTTACACTCCGGCTGTTAGATGAAAATATTCTCTCATTATCAAGATATCTTTATCAGTAAGAATTCAGATTCATTGTTTCAAATATTTTGAAAACTTTTGTTAAAGTTGTCGATAACAAGAATACGCAGTGGCCTGACAGTTAGCAGTCTGGACTCCAGACCCGAGTTGTTTACCATTGAGACCTACCTGGGTCACTGTATCGTGTTCTAAAGCAGGAAACTTTCATCAGTGTCTCCCTCTGGCCAGGAGAGGACATCCTGACGAAGTTTCATGGGATATATGATGGAGTAGCATCTCAACCAAACAGGCGTTGTTGAACAATGTGCACGAAACAAAGATGTCAGGTTGTTGGTATGGGCCACTTGGCCAGTGAAAAACGTACACGTAAGCTTTATAGCAATCAATTATTTATAGTGAACCGCTGACCTTAAATGTCAACTCTTGTTCCTAGTTTTTACAGGGGAAGAGTAGATGTAATAATGACAATTTGTGGTTATCATCCCGACTAACGCAAAAAGTCTACTCCGTGTTGGATTGAACAAAAGCGAACGTCTTTGAAATCTCATAAAGACAGTTGAAACCACACAACGAGTGTTTTACGAAAAAAAAAGGTAACAAATTTGGATGATATTACCTTTTGTAAAAGGATCTTAGCTATCTCAAGGTGATTATTAATTGCTGCAATATGAAGGGTC